CCGCCCCCACGCCGCCCGCGCTCCCACCGCCTACCGGGAGCTGCGTCCCGTCGTGTCCAGTCCAGTCCCCGGCACAGCCCGGCCCGCGCGCTTGCTCTGGCCGCTTTCCGCCGTCTTCGGCCCGCGCCATGGTCAGCCTGCGGCGGTCCGGCCCAGCCCCGCTGCTGCTGCTCCTTGTGGTGGCGGCGCGTTCCCTGCCTGGCGCCGACGGGACGTGCCCGGAACGCGCGCTGGAGCGGCGGGAGGAGGAGGCGAATGTGGTGCTCACCGGCACCGTGGAGGAGATCCTCAACGTGGACCCTGTGCAGCACACGTACTCGTGCAAGGTGGGCCCCGCCGGGACCCCCGGGACCCTGAGTCCCCCCCCTACCCTCCTGGAAGCCTGGGCTGGGGGCCTCTTCCCCGGCGATCCGGGCCCCCTAGCCTGGAGGCCCTCCCCTCGCGATGCCGGCCGCACGGCAGAGACCCCCGCCCCAGGCCGTGGGAACGAGCCCCAGACGCTTTGCAGCTCCCGCTCCCGCTCCCTTGGCGACCGCCGAATCCCCGGGTGGGGTACCGGGTCCCGGAAAACTCGCGCGCGCCGGAGGGAAAGTTCCTGCGTTCCGCTGCGGTCCCACCTGGCTCTGCCCCAGGCCCCGGGACACGATCACGTCTGCTTCTCCACCCCAAACCCACTCCCTTGGAAACAACTGCGCCGCCCCCCAGGGAGAGTGTGTGGCTACCGCACTGCCTCTCCACCAGCCAAAGAAAAGGAATAGGGACGAAAGGAGGTGACGCTTTCTGCTTGGGGTGGAGGGTTTCGCCTGTGGTCAGTGCTGTTGCCCCCTCCCCAGAGGCCTCCACCAGGGCGAAAGGGGGTGGTCAGGAGAGGGGATGGTGCACATCTAATCTTCCAACCCCAGGGATCCTGGTTGGGGGTGCTGCAGTGACGGGGCAGGAGCAGAGAAGTGGGCGGGGCCGTTGCTGAACCTCAAGTGTAGGGGGGGCAGGGGCAGGTGCCCCATCCCACTCCTGGGACTACTGCATCTCCCCTGGCCACAGGGGTAGGGGGTTTGCCTTGTCTCTCCTTCAGTGGGATCCCGGAGGCCCCTGGGGTAGGTGTGGAGGGTTTTTAACCATAGTCCATTTCTAAGGAGGGCTTATGGGAACCAGGGCCCGTTCCTTCTCTGGCCCCTAAAACCACCTCCCTGACCAGAAGTCGGATCATTCCTCCCCCTTGGAGCTGGGGACCTGTGGCAGCTTCTTCCAGATTGGCCTGTGGGGTTACAGCTGGGATCCCCCGCTGGGCCCCCTCCCCTCCACTGCTGGGCACTTCGCCAAGTCCCTGCAGGATTTTCCCGACTTCCTCCCCGCTGCTCCTGGGTGTGGCTGGGGGTGGGGGGGAGGCGACCAGAGCCACCCTATCCTCCTCTGTTGGTTATCCGCCGTTTGGAACCTACTGTGTGTCTGGAGGTGGGGGGAGAGGGTTGGACAATGCTCCCACCTGGGCCTCTGGAGGGTGGGTCCCTGCAGATGCTAAGGACCCAAGGCTCCCAGCAGGGAGTAGGCAGGTGGACCGGCCACCATTGTCTTATCCCCCATTCCAGAGGTCCTGAAGAAAGGGGCTTCTTCTCGAGTGCGTGGGTGCATGTCCCCTGGGCTCATATGGACCTGTTCCTTTGAGGGCAGCCGGTTCAGCCTGCAGCTCCTGCGACCCTCCTGGGCACCCCTGGGTAGGCTGTGGGCATCCCAGGGCATGATTTGTCAGAGCAGGTGCCCTCAGGGCCCCAAGAACGAGATGTGGAGGGTGGGGCTGCCCTGTGCTGCCTGAACTTGATTTTGTGGCTTACAGGCTGCCTTGACTGCACTCACAGTAGGAACCTGGAAGGAGGAGGGGTCTTTCACCTCCTAGGGGGAGGGTCTTAGCTCACCCACAGGCTGGCCCAGAGCCCTGAGCTCAGAGCCTGCTGCCCTGAAACTCCACCGTCCATGTTAGCTGCTGCTGGCTCTGCCCAGGGGTGGGTGGGATTAGTGGGGCATGGGAGGCAGGTACCCCAGGCCAGGTGGGTCCCCTTCCCAGATCCAGCCTGAACTGACATGGACATCGTTAGACTTGGGGGGCTGGGGTCAGTTAGACCTGAGGGGTGGGGCAGCTGTTTCCTGGGGGAGGAGTGTGTTCACAGGCCTGGTGTTCTCATGACATCTACTTGTGCTTCCTTGCACCCTTGGTTGGGGGGACTGACCCAAGATCTCCTTACATCTCAGCCCAGGGTTGGGGACTGCCTGGACGTTGGGCCTGAGCAACTGAGGTGCGCAGAGTGGGAAAGGCCCCGGCGCCCAGCCTGGTGTTGCCTCTGGCCCCCACGGCCCCCTCTGTCTCCCTAGTGGGAAGAGGACCACTGATACCTGCCCCCCTCCACTCCAGGTTCGGGTCTGGCGGTACTTAAAGGGCAAAGATGTGGTGACTCAGCAGAGCCTGCTGGATGGCGGCAACAAGGTGGTGATTGGTGGCTTCGGAGATCCCCTCATCTGTGACAACCAGGTGTCCACCGGAGACACAAGGATCTTCTTTGTGAACCCTG